TTTTTTTTTTTTTTGTGTTTTTCTCTGTAAAGGTAAGAGCATTGGTGTCAAAGGCAGTACTGGTTATCTGGTCAAAGGTTCACATACAAAAGTTCCACAAGAGCTTATTGCTGAATTAAAGGCCATCTGCCAGGTACCATTTTTTTCCACTTTAAGCAAGCTTTTAAGCCAGTGTTCCATTATAATATCGATCAACTATTGATTTTTTTCTAAAACTGTTATGGCATTTTTCCCTTAATGTTATTATTTTCCGCCTCGCGCTAATTTCCAGTTTCGTCTACTCTTGATTCTTTATGAAATACAATGTTCTCACTTCTGAATTTCTTTACTGCAGTGAAAGTTGAACAAACAAAATGGAAAATAGTTAATTAAATTCCTTCTTTTGAATTTCAATTAGAGGAGGTGATGGCAGCTATGTGTTGTTTACTTTGAGTGGATTTTAATGTTATTCAGTGTATAAGATAACATAACAATGGACTACGATGATAGATACTCTTATGGAATGTCAGCTGAATGAAAAGGGTCACCTTTGGTGGAGGTATGGCGGTGGCATTTGGGCTTCTTAATGCTATTCTTGTGGCCAAGCAAACGGTTTAAGGAAAAAAAAAATCCCTTCTATGTTTATTTTTACTAAGTTAGCTATCAGAGAATATGGTTGTTGAATATTCAGATTTTCTAGATTCTGATTTGAATTGGTCGTGTTTTGTTGAAATTTATTGTAGTTTATTCCCCTGAATTTGTGGCTTTTCCTTTTGAATAATGCTGTTGTTGAACACTTGGATGCTTGGACTTGACAGCAAGAGATTGATTTGCTCAGGGTAACATCCTGCTATGTTTATACGTACATACATTTGTGCATTCACACATTTTATTCGGGTAACTCACAGTCCCACTATATTGAATTTGGATCATCCCTTATGATGTTGTTCTAGGTTTTCTTGTTCCTTAAAGAAAAATTGAATTTTCATTTTGTTAAAATATTTAAACCTTAGCACTTTTTCATTATCAGCTTCAATTACTAAGAAAAATTCAAGTGCTAAATTGAATTGGGGTTCTTGAACAAAAATACCCCTGATGAGTATAGTGGTTGGGCTATTGTGGAAGCTGCTCCCAAGACAATAAGGGAGAAGAATAAATGTTTGATCTTTGAACTTTTTTTGAGCCCTAATGTTCACGATTTTATACATGTTGGCCATCCGAGGCTAATTACGAAATGGGTTTCTGAAAGGATGCGGTGGTCAGATGGAGATGAAATAAATTTTTTTTTTTTTTTTTGTGTTCTTTTAAGTATGTATTGTCCAATAAACTGGCACAAGTTGGTCTGTGTACTTCATGCCATTGTCAAGTA